CACGCTGATCTCTAGCTCGCTGCCTCGTGTAAATAACCTGAAAATCATAAACCCAAAACATGACTTATTTGTCAAAACATACCTTAAATGGGCTTTTCAACATAATTTCATATCTCCGATACCGCTTAATTTTCTCCCCAAATCTTCCTAACACCTCAAAACTCCATTCCCCTTCGTTCATATTGTGCGAAAGCTCTCACGGAAGCTCGCAAATTAAGTTTTGACGCTTCTGACACAAGTTCGATGCCTGGTAGGAAGACCAGAAACAAAAAGTGCACAAAATCAAGGCAAACATCAAACAAAAGTGTGAGGATCCAAATGAATGCCTAGAACAATGTCAAAGAGGGTTTCACACTCACCAATTTCTCTCACAACTACCGTTCGCCCCTTGCTACAATAATGGATTGCGGGATCCTTCGCCGTCGAGCCGCTGATCGCTCCAGGAGGAGAATTCGGGAGAGGGACAAATACAACGGATGCATGCATGTGAAATTGCAGGAGTCCATATAGAACAGTAATGCAGGGATTAAGCTGATCGCTCCAGGAGGAGAATTCGGGAGAGGGACGCGACACAGTGATCCTTCACTGTAGGGAGAGGGAGATGGGGAGTACAGCACTTCAAGAAATTCAATGGATCTCAGTCGTTGGATCAAATACAACGGGTGCATGCATGTGAAATTGCAGGAGGAGTCCATATAGAACAGTAATGCAGGGATTAGGGAAGGATTAGGAAAATAATTAAGTTAATTAAACTTAAAATTTCCTAATTTTTTATCTCGCAATTCGCTATCAATCCATATATAAATAAAAATTGATTTTTTATAACTTATTTAATTATATATTTAATATTAATATGAACATAAATTTATTATTATTTTTATGAAATTATTTATTAGTATTTATCTATGTTATTGGATTGCAAGAGGGTTTGCTTAATTTATATATTATTTATTTATTTTGTATAAACTAGTAAAATATTTATTTGAAATTTTTTCAATTGTTTATTTATTTAGATTTATAAAATTTATTAGTTTAAAAGTTAATCTAAAAAATCTAGCATATATTCAATTTTTTATTTTTTTATTAGCTTTATATGAAAAATCATCTACATATTAAATTTTTTTAATTTTATATTAAAAAATTAAAAACTCATTTAAATTTTTAGCTTATGCTAATTCTTATGTAGTTACATATCTAAAACAAACTTTATGCGTTATATATGTAAATGCATAAGAATTTTGTGATATATATATATATATATATATGTATGTATGTAAGTATGTAAATTTTATTTAATATAAAGAAGTCAAATATAAATTAGATATGATCATTAAAATTTGTAAGTATGAACATATTTGTGAAAGTTCGGCCTAAACTCGAATTGATCATGAACAACTTACGATTCAACGATGTTCATGAGATACATGACTTGACTGCTTAATTACAACCCCAAATATGAAAAGATTAATTATTTTTATGAGCTAATAATTTCTAAGTATAATGTTTCATTTTCACTTTATTTCATTTAATTTTTAGATTATTTTCATTATAAGTTAAATGATATGACTGACTTTGAATATGAATCATGTGCTAGTATTTAAGCAACTTTATATTTTGTTTAAAATCTATCTAGTTTGATTCCATCTTATAATTTTAATTCTACACAATGAGAATTTACGGTTCATTATTGTATTCATTATTATCCCACATGTTGGCATTTAGTTGATTGAGGTACAAGTAATATGATTATTCATTATTATCTAAGAGCTTAAGCTAGATCATGAGAGAGAAAAAAGAGGGCCCTAAAATTCACCTATGTAATCTTCTTCAAAAAAAATTATGAGTAAATAATAACAAAACAATATAAAAACAATTTAAAGGATCGACCATTTGATAGAAAAATATTATTCACCAAAAAATCAACCATCAGAATCCAGTGGAGAGAATTGGGTTACAGTTAAAAAGAAAGGAAAAATTATTTATGAGGAAGTTCTTATAAAGGCTAATCAAAATAGATATATGTTGAATTTGAATATGTCCTATGAATCACATCCAAGGAATAGAGTATAGAGTAGGGAAGGCTAATCAAAATAGATATATGTTGAATTTGAATCACATCCAAGGAATAGAGTATAGAGTAGGGGAGAGAGATATAAAAGAGTGGAAGACAGTGCACAATAATGAACAGTCAAATGAGAGAATTGTGCAATCTCTTATTCATAAAATGTTCCCTTATTTATAAACGAAGAGGATATAATATGTGATATTACATTTATGTCGCTACTTGAGTAAGCACTGTACATGTTTTTTTTGATATTTCACCATTGTGGGGCCCAAGGGCTTGATGATCTCTAGCTCGACTGATTGGACTTGATAGGAATTAAGCGAGCCTTGCTGGTCAGCTAGATTTGATAGTCCTTGGTTGATAGGACTGGTCATGTTGGCGGAATTATATTGATCGACACCCAATCTACACCAAGGAGCTCCTGTTGAAAGTGTGAAGCTAGGCGAGAGGATCCTGGCGGGATGATTGAGATCTATTGTATTATGTTGATGGTATTGGGGGAGTCGACTGAGTGATCCCGATATGATAGAGTCATTCACCTTGGATTGCCTTCATCATTTTGGCACGCTTGGAAGACTCTTCGCCTATCGCCTAAATGAGCCATTTGGGTTGACAACACTTCGACCGCCCTCAGGGCTTAGACAGTCTTAGGTTTGCTACATCTGGTTGCATACCTATTCCATCGATTAGCTTTTTGGTGGGTTCTCTTGGCATTAGAGCTTTTTAGCTTATACCATTAGATATCGAGATTTGTGCCCATTTTTTTCATGTACATATTTAGTTCATCGATTCTCTTGCTTCTTGAAAGTCGTGTTGCAATAAAAATAAGAGGATTTAATATGCAAGAATAAACATCATTTTTGATTATTTAATGATTCAATAATTAACTTCCATGGATTTCCATGCCCTTTATTCTTTATAAATTGGGCATGAAGGCTCAACTTTTTTTCATCCTCTCTATCGCTTCATCCCCCCATCTCATTTGAATTTAGCTTGTCTCCTCGGTGAATGAATCAACTTCAAAACCTGATCTTTATAGCAATGTCGCGTATCATAGAGCCTTAAGAGATGTGAGAGGGGATGCTCCATCAGAGGGAGAGAAGAGGAAGAGGTTGGTTGTGGACTCTTCCATCTCATGCATCGGTTTCACGGCTACATCCAACTCAAGTTTGGAGACAATTATTTTAACATACGAGTCTTACAAGAAGGTGGCATGTTCTACCCTTCAGTCTTTTTGGTGTCATAGTTGACTTTTGTCACTTGGTTTCAAGTTCCCTGAGTGTTGGTCAGATGTTAAAGCGCACGAACTCCCGAGTTCCCCGAGTGTTATGTGGACCTGAGATTATACACATAGTCAACCAAGCCATTTTATAATATTTCCTTGTTTAACATTTACAAATTCGAAATGAAAACTTCTTTATTTATTTTTGAGTGTTGGTACAAGATATTGTCAATGAAAAAGTATTTCTAAATCGTCCCTGCTCCACATCCAGGGAACTTCTTTCCCAGCGTGGGTCTTGAGTTTGTAGGCTCTGGGGGTAACCCTTTGTTCGACGATGAAGGGGCAAATCCATGTTTAGTCCAGTTTGCCGACTAACTGTTCTCAAGCGGCCAGATTAACCTTCTTTAGCACAAGGTCCCTAGGAGCGTAGTTAATCTCTCGAATGTTTTTATTGTAGTAGTGAGTGGCACATCTCTTGAATTCTTTTTTCCTGAAGTTTGAATTTGTTTGGTTGTTATTTGTCAAGTCGAGTGTGAGTATCACTTCTTTCACCATTTTCCTCCTACTAATCGACTAGATTCCACTCGTTAAATGTTGATGTCGTCGCTACTCACTAACTATGGTGATTTTTCTCGGCTGACATCACCGCCTCCATTCTCTAGGATAACATGAATGAAGTCTTATTGGTTGTAGTAGATGGTGTCATTTGGGTTGCCCAATGAATCGACGGAAGGATCTCAACCAAATTCCCCTTTACTCATTCAACTTTCTTCCTTAACAAGCTTAAGATTATCTTGTTAGTGGCCTCTACTTGTTCATTAGTTCATCAATGATGTACTAATGCAAAATTCAAACTAGTCCCCTGACTCTGACAAAATTTATTTACTCCCTAATCAGTAAAGTGTGTGTCCTTGTTGGTAATGATGTTGAGCAGCATCCCATACCAACTTACTAGGTATGCCTTGATGAAGTTATCGATGACATCCGACATTATCCTGACAAGGGTCTTTACTTTTATCCACTTTGAGAAATAGTTCATGATGATTAAGAGAATTTACATGACCCTTGGATGGTGGGAATAACCGGAGGATGTCAAGCCCCTAAATATTGAATTTACTTGACAGTTGCAGTTTGTGGGACGTTTGGTGCAAAAGTGGTGCATACTTTTTGCGTTGTTCGCATCTTTTTAAAATTTCCTCTGCATATTTTATGACCATTGGCTAGAAGAACAAGTATGATTCCTAATCCCGTATTGTGGAAACTCCATCAATGTATAAGACCTAGGTCTGATAGTCAACATCGGGTCCTTTTCTCAGATCTCATGATTCAGAAAAATATGTCAAAAGATTTTCTACTGCTTGTGCTATAATTATCATCCAAGGGATGTAAGAAATGCCAAATTCATCAAGCTTCACTACTCATTTGAGGAGCCGATAAGAATACTATGGTTGAGTAATAACGAACATCAATGGGTGGTCAGTAATGATCCAGATTGGAGGCATCTAAAAATAGGGTCAGAGCCTGTGAGCATAAATAATTAGAACAAATGTTTGTTTTTTATTATAATTGATATGGCTTTTAGCATGTTTAATTTCCTTTAGAATTAACACATATTTTAAATGAAATTGCACTTTAAAGAAGGATATTTTTATGTTTATCTTGCATATATAACATGTAGAACCCTTGTAGTGAAGCAAAATTGAAAAAGGAGCAAAAAGAAGCTGAATGGAGCAAATGGATTTCATATAACTAGTGTCGGATTCTGGGTGCCAAGGCACTCCATTCAAGTGCCCTAGCACCAGCTTCTGGACGCCTAGGCGCCAGAACTCTGCGCATCCAACCGAGAAGGTGGCACCTAGGCGCTAAGGCACTATCGTTTTCTGCAGTTGCTAAACCGCGACTTTGAAAGTTATTTGATTGATTTTGATGCTTGAAGAAGGAACTTTTTGGAATTTCTAAGTCCCATTAGTCTCCAAGAAGGCCAAGGGGTCTTAGATAGGCGTAGGAACTGTAGATTTTTACCTTTTCTAAAGAGATTGAAGTGGGGAATTGAGTGAATTCTGTAAGGGAATTGTATCAGCATTGCAAGGAACAGTAGGATGTATTTTTGAAGGGATTTTCATCTCTTTTTCAAAAGGAAAAACTAAGTATTTTGCTCTTTATTGTCTTGTATTTGTTGTAAATACATATTTAGTGAATTGCTTTGATTTAATGTAGTTTTTTGTTGTGTTAAGCATGTTTTGTGAGTAAAATTCTTGCACCTTTCTCTTGTGATAATTAAATAGAATTTTTAAGATGATGATTACTATAGAATTGATATTTTAATCTTAACTTGATAGTTTTTATTTCATGCTTAATTTACTTATCAATTTGGCAAATTAGTATGTTAAAACCTGCTGTGAACCATAAAGTCATGGGAGGGCTATAGCTTTGACAACTAGTAAAAACCACATTGCACTAATGAGTGAAGAAAAAGTAGTCCATAGGGCAATGCAAACAGATAGGGAGATAGCTTTTGATGTGGATAACTTGGGGGTTTCTAGGGTGACAGGGAGAAGCACTTACCAAATTAAAACAAAACTTATTTACGCCCCAAACCACATCACAAGTTAAACCAACCACCAAAATCCAGAGCCACATCAGAAGACAACACCCCAACCCACATCACAATAGTCTAACCCACATAACAACACAAGCCATAGCCACCACCCAAACCCACAACAACCACCTCAACCACAACCCACTATCTACACCCCTACCCACGAGTACCACACAACCACACAACCCATAACACAAGCCAAAGCCACCACATAACCTTACGGGCAAACCCCACACCAAAAATAGTGCCGACACACATATGCACAACCAACCATCAAAACTTAGGGACACTACACCACAAGCACATATGCACTGAATTCACACAACCACCGCAACCCACGGTAGAAGCACCACATAACTGCCACATCACACCCAATCACCAAAACCCAGAGCCACATTACATCACAACACCCCAACCAATATCACAACACTCCAACCCACATCACAACACAAGCCACAACCACCACCCAACCCACAACCCTCTACCATTACCCTTAACCACAAGCACCACACAACCACACAACCCATAACACAAGCCAGATACACCACACAACCACAACACCCCAACCCATATTACTACCACAACATACCCAATCACTAAAACCCAGAGCCACATCACAAACCACAACCACATATGCACTGAATTCACACAACCACTACAACTCGCTGGTGGACTACCACAACATACCCAATCACTAAAACCCAGAGCCACATCACACTATAACACCCCAACCCACAACCAACCACCAAAACCCAGGGCCCACAAACCACAACCACATATGCACTGAATTCACACAACCACTACAACTCGCTGGTGGACTACCACAACATACCCAACCACTAAAACCCAGAGCCACATCACAATATAACACCCCAACCCACATCACATGACTCCAACCTATATCACAACACAAGTCATAGCCACCACCCCAACCCACAACAACCACCCCTACCTACAACCCACTGCCACCACCCCTACCCACAAGTACCACACAACCACAAAACCCGCAACACAAGCCATAGCCACCACACCACCACCACATATGCACTGAATTCACACAACCCTCAAAACCCACGACACAGCCACCACAAACCAGAGCCACCACTCCAACCCACAACCACCAATACCCAGAGCCACCACAAACCAACCACATATATGTTCTAAATTCACACAACTACCACAACCCACAACAGAGCTACCACTTTTCAGCCATCAGCCTAACCTAATACAAACCGTACTACAACCAGACAACCACAACACAACTACCTGCCAAGAACACAAGTTAGAGTCACCACACAGTCCATCTACAGCACCCCAACCCACAACCAACTACTACCACCCCAACCCACTACCACCACACAACCACCCACGACACAACCAGAGCCACAACACAACCACAACACCCGAACAACCAAAACCCATAGCCACCATAGCCCACAACAGAGCCACAACAATACTCCATACAATCACCACATCTCATAATAGAGCCACCGCAATCAACAACCACCTTACCACAAGCATGACCACCACAATATCCACATTAAGAGGCATCACCCCTATATAAAAAATTCCACACCAACGCAAAAAACCGCAGAGAACTACAAGTCAAAAAACATTCGAAAATCAGCAAGAGAACATTCACAAGAGAAGAACCAGTTAGTGAAAACATTGGCAAAGAGAACTACCATTCGAAAACCAATAAGAGAAGAACCAATCGTTAGATCATAATCACGGAAACAAGTTCAAAGTGAATACCGCGTAGAAGATCCGTCACAAGAGAAGAGAGGTAAAGTCAATTGCGATAGAGGGCTCGGAGGGAGAAACCGGTGCGGTAGTGAAAAAAGAGCGTAGAAAATTTATTGTGAGAGATGGCTCAAAGGCGAGAGAAAATGGTATGGCAGTAAAAATAAGCAGCTGAATTATAATAAAATTATCTGAAATGACATCAAAACAAGATAACCAAACAAATAAAAAACAGGATTTGAGCAGCACACGGCATGTGTGGCCCCAAAAGATCCTTCGGTCGCGAAGAAACCTCGTAGAAGAAGGTGGTTTAGATCCGGCAAACGAAAGAGCGGCTCCAGCCTCAAGTGCTCCGGCTGGACACGTGCGAACCGGCGCCGTTCACCCTTCCACGTGCAAAGACATCCGGATCTCGGAGGTGTAGGTTCCGCCCTGTTAATTTTTTATTTCCGTTTCATTGGGAAGGGACGGCAGCTGACTGTGGAAGAAACAAGCGAGAAGCATCAGGAGAAAAGGGGGAACGACTGCCTCAGCTTTTTGCTGTCATTTTCTCTCTGTTGGATCGCCTTCTTTCTCTTCTTCTACGCGTTTTTTTCTATCAGATTGGTCGGAGATCCTGCGAGTTCTCTGCCGGCTGGGTGCATTTATCTTAGTTTCTGATGGAACAACTCGTGAATTTCATTATTCGTCCCCCGAGGTATGAAATTTTGGAGTTTTTGATCGCTTGTTATCGTTTGTGCTGTTCTTGTTCTCCTTTTGTTTATCTGTAATGTTTCATTTCTTGTTTGAATTAGTCGGGATTGCGCAATGTATGAGCATTGCGTGATTTCCTGGTTTATCGATTCTTGAAATTTTGTTTTTTTGATGATTGCGGGGTAGGTCTGTTTTGGTTGTAGCTTTGTGTATACCGGACGGGTTTATGGTGTTACACTTGTTGAGAATTCTTGATTAGGAATACGGGGATTGCGAAGGAATCGGCGTAGTCATCATAAGGGTAGGAATGGGACCGTATAAATGGTTCAATCATAAGATCGATTGCTGAAAGAATGACGGTAGTTAAGTTTGCGAAACTTGAAAAAAAAAAGGCACAGAGCTGTATTCATTCATACCTTCAGGAAGAACTGAGCTTATAGTGGCTACGCACCTTCCTTACGGTGCGTAGTACTGAAGGAATAATTCTTCGCTTATAGTCAGGCATCTTCTTTGCTTCTCTGTTCTAAAGTGTTTTTTTGTCTCCCTTCCTGTGCTTATAGTCAGGCATCTTCTTTGCTTCTCTGTTCTCAAGTGTTTTTTTGTCTCCCTTCCTGTCTCTTTCCATCTCACCCCAGTTCCAAAAGGCGGTGCATCCCAACAATGCAGAGTATGATAAAATGATGTTAACCGGTTCTATATTCTGAAAAGAAGATATTGTATAAAAATAATTATAAAAATAAACAAGAAAAATTAAAATTTTTCATTTCATAAATAAGAATCATACAATTGATACAACTGAATGAAACAAAGAGATAACTAAAGCAAACTGAAATAAAAATAGAGAATCAGGTACGTAGACCCAGGAATGAATATACAATAACTTTAAACAAACTGAAAATATTCAAAATAAATCTAGTGCTGAGAAGACTGTTTCGGTAGAGACGATCCTGCAAACGGTTGAATAGAATCTGTTATATAAAAGTATTAACGCGTAAGTTTGACCAATCAAACCCAGTAAATAACATCTATTTATTAAAATATAAACGATAATGAACTAGACCCCCCAACCAATCCCATTTGCAAATTCGAATCCCTTCTAGTCGAGGATTCGAACTTGGGTTGAGAGGGGACTTACGCTGAGCCGCCATCAACTCG